CTGCACAATCAAAGGCCCTGGTTCTCATGGAGGACTTCAATCATCCTGATATCTGCTGGAGGAACAACACAGCTAGGCACAAGCAGTCGAGAAGGTTCCTGCAAAGCACCGATGATAACTTTCTGACACAGGTTATGGAAGAGCCAACGAGGAGAGGTGTGCTGCTAGACCTTGTACTAACAAACAAGGAAGGCCTGATTGGAGATGTGAAGGCTGGGGACAGCCATGTCTGCAGTGACCATGAGATGGTGGAATTTAGGATCCTGCGAGGAGGAAGCAGGGCAATAAGTAGGATAAAAATCCTGGACTTCAGGAGAGCTAACTCTGGCCTCTTCAGGGAACTACTTGGAGGAATGCTGTGGGAGCGGGCCCTAGAGCGAAGGGCAGGGAAGTATTCAAGCATCACTTCTTCCAAGCTCAAGATCAGTGCATCCCAGTGAGCAAGAAGCTGAGCAAAGAGGGCAGGAGACCTGCATGGATGAGCAAGGAACTCCTGGCAAAAAACTCCAGCGGAAGAAGGAAGTCTACAGAACGTGGAAAAGGGCACAGGCCGCTTGGAAGGAATATAGGCATGTTGTCAGAGTGTGCAGGGATGCGATGAAGAAGGTTAAGGCCCACTTGGATTTAAGTCCGTCAAGGGATGTCAAGGACAACAAGAAAGGCTTCTTCAAATACGTCAGTAACAAAAAGACGACTAGGGAAAATGGGGGCCTGCTGCTGAATGGGGTGGGGACCCTGGCAGCAGAGGACACAGAGAAGACGGAGATATTGAATGCCTTCTTTGCATCAGTCTTCGCTGCCAAGGCTAGTCCTCAGGAATCCCAGACCCTGGGGACAAGAAAGAAAGACTGGTGAAAGGAAGACTTTTCCTTGGTGGACAAGGATGGGGTTAGAGATCATTTGTCCAAAGTTGACATCCACAAGGCCATGGGTCCTGATGGGATGCACCCACGAGTGCTTGAGGGAGCTGGCGGATGTTATCGCTAAGCCACTCTCCATCATCTTGGAAAGGTCCTGGAGATCAGGAGAGGTGCCTGAGGCCTGGAAGAAAGCCAGTATCACTCCAGTCTTCAAAAAGGGCAAGGAAGAGAGCCCAGGGAACTCCAGGCCTATCAGCCTCACCTCCATCCCTGGAAAGGTGATGGAACAGCTCCTCCTGGAAGTCATCACTAAGCATATGGAAGACAAGAAGGTGATCAGGAGTAGTCAGCCCGGATTCACCAAGTGAAAAATCATGCTTAACCAAACTGGTAGCCTTCTGTGATGGAATGACTGGCTGGGTAGATGAGGGGAGAGCAGTGGATGTTGTCTCCCTGGACTTGAGCAAGGCTTTTGATACTATCTGCCATCACATCCTCCTGGGCAAGCTCAGGAAGTGTGGGTTGGGTGAGTGGACAGTGGAGTGGATTGAGAAGCGGCTGAATGGC